TTATACAACATTATATGTCAATTATACCCTGATCATGTTAGAGGGAAAAGATATTCCAGAGGAAAAAGACACCAGCAACATGCCAGTGTAGGAAGCCCTGGACTCTCCTTTACATTCACAAATTCACCAATTCAGCTTCAACTCATGGATTAATTTTCTTTGTGATGAACCCTAAATTAAATGAAAGGCCCTTTTGCTCTGGGAGAATGCAAAACCAGACTTGCCAAAGCCAGTAGGGAGATTCAAGACACCCTGTTGTCAGAGACCTTACTACAATGCAGTACCTTACAAGCAGGAAGAGACCATCTAGCTCTCTGTTTCACCCAGCAGAGAAGGATCTGCTTGGAGGTCGAACATGCATACATTTTCAAGGGAGCTGCCCAAATATCTGGAATCCGTCTTCCAGTTGTGGGAGCTCTGTTTGGTCTGAACTGTCTAGATGCCCAGGGACAACAGGAGTAGCAGCTTGAGCTAGTAGTTACCAATGAATGGTACTCCCTCTATTAACCACCAAATGAATGGATAAATAATCCCAGCTCTTAGCTTCCCCCCTGGGAGGCAAAGACTTGATCCATTCATCTAGATCCCCAAGTACCACACTGAAATCATGAAGCTGACAATACACTACACTAGCAACTGAAAAATGTACTAGAGAGGTTCAATAACAGACTAGGTCAAGCAAAAGGAATGACCACTGAACTCAAAAAGAAGTCACTGGAAATTATTAAGAACAGCAAACAAGATAAAAGAATGAGAAATAGTGACTAAGGGACTTATAGAAGTCCCACCAATGGGACTAATATATGCATTATGAGAGTTCCAGAAAAAGAATCGAGAAGGAAAAGATCAGGAAGCATATTCAAAAAAATAATGGCTAAAAACTTCCCACGTTGGAAGAAGGAAATGGATATCCAGATGGAGAAAGATCAATGAACCTCAAATAAGGTGAACTCAAAGAAATCCATAACAAGGCACATTATAATAAAATTGTCACAATTCAAAAACAAAGAGAGAATTTGAGAGTAGGAAAAAAAGTGAGTTCACACATACAGAGGAACCTCCATAAGACTATGAGGAAATTTTCCAACAGAAACTTTACAGTCCATAAGGCAGTGAGATGATACTCAAAGCACTGAAAGAAAAAGCTTCCAACAAAGAAAATTATATCAGACAAAAACGTCCTTCAAAAATTAAATGGAGACAAAATCTCTCCAGACAAACAAAAGCTAAATGAGTTCATGACCACTAGCCCTGCCTTAGAAAAAATGCTAAAGATAGTAATGCCTGCATTATGCTGGCATAAGACATCTCTCTTTTTGTGCCTCTTTTAAAATTAAAAATCCACATAGATTTATTATATACCACATCTATTTTGACACTCAAGGAAGAACAGAAGATGGAAGAAAATAGTTCCCAAGCTTTAAGAAATTAAAGATTTAGATGTAAACACGCAAAGCATGATGTTAAAAGAGCAAAACACTAATTACTTAATGGGCTTCAGAGTAAGGAAATAATGCAACAAAGCTTTAAAAACATTTTAGCTGGGATGCCTGGTTGGCTCAGTAGGTTAAGTTTCTGACTTCCACTCAAGTCATGATACAGAGTCCTGGGATTCAGCCCCATATCAGGCCCCTTGCTCAGCAGGGAGTCTTCTTGTCCCTCTCCTTCTGCCCTTCCCCCTGCTCATGCACTCTCTCCCTGTCTGCCTCAAATAAATAAATAAAATCTTTTTTAAAAACCTTTTTATTTGAATTATTTTAAATAATATTAAACAGATAATGTCTACATATAAAATGAATTGGATTTTTTTCTTTCCACAAATTTTTTATTGTGTTGAAATATATATATAAATAACATTTACCATCTTAACAATTTTTTAGTGTATTGTTTAATGGTATTAAATGCATTCACATTGTGTAGCCATCACTACCATCCATTCATAACTTTTCATCTTATAAAAGTGAAACTCTATACTCTCCATTCCTCCTCCTCCCAAGTCCTTGGCAAACACCATTCTACTTTCTTTTCTTTTTTTCTTTTAAAGATTTTATTTATTTATTCATGAGAGACACAGAGAGAGGCATAGACACAGGCAGAGGGAGAAGCAGGCTTCTGGTAGGGAAGCCTGATGCGGGACTCAGTCCCAGGATCCTGGGATTGTGACCTGAGCCAAAGGCAGATGCTCAACTGCCGAGCCACCCAGGTGCCCCACCATTCTACTTTCTACGTCTATGATTTTGACTATGTGAGGTACCTCATATCAGAATCATAGAGTACTTGTCTTTTTGTGACTGGCTAATTATTTCAGTTAGCATAATTGTCCTCAAGATCCATCCATGCTGTAAAATATTACAAAATTTCTATCCTTTTTAATACTGAATAAAATTCCATTGTTTGTATATATCACATTTTTCTTTTTCCATACATCCATTGATGGGTACCTGGATTGCTTACAAATTTTAGCTATTGTCAATAATGCTGCTATGAACGTGGGTGTACAAATACCTCTTCCAGACACTGCTTTCAATTATTTTGGTTATATTCTCATAAATGGGAATGCTGGGTCATATAGTAATTCTATTTCTAATTTTGAAGGAACAATCATCTACTTTCCATGGCAGCTTGTACCATTTTATATCCCCACCAACAGTGTACAAGGGTTCTGATTTTTCTACATACGCCCCCATCCTTGTTGGAGTCTTTGTGTTGTTGCTGTTGCTGCTGCTGCTGCTGTTGTTTTTGTAGCCATCCTAACGAGTGTGAAATGATATCAAAACCTTATGGTTTGGATTTATATTTCCCTAATGATTAGAAGTGTTGAGCTTCTTATCTTATTTGAAGAAAATTCTATTCAAGTTCTTTGCCCATTTTTTAATTGAGCTGTTTGCTTTTTATTGTTGAGTTTTAGGAGTTTTCTATATATTCTGGATATTAATTTCTTATCAGATACATGACTCATAAATGTTTTTCTCCCAATGAAACAAGACAGCCAGAAAACAATTAATAATATGGACTCTTATTTGGGGCAGGTAACACAGTTGTAGGAACTGTTCTGGGTATTGTAGGATATTTAGTAAGCATCCCTGACTTTTACCTTCTAGAAGCCAGTAAGAGTCCTTTCCCAGTTGTAAAAACCAAAAATGTCTGTAGGCATTGGGTCTAGAAAGCAAAGGTAATGAATCCTGCTAAATGTACTACAATGCACAGGACAATCTCCCTCATTCCCACCTCTCACAACAAAGAATTATCTGGCCCAAAATATCAATAATGTTGACACTGAGAAACCCTGATGTGACTGTTGGGTTTGCACCCACATTCCTTCAGATGTTACACAACCTAATTTCATGACAAATACCCCTAATAATGTATGTGACTTTACAACTAATGAGATTTCCTCCCTTTTAGAAGATAAACATCACCACAAACTAAATGATGCTAAAACTTTAACATCATTTTATATTATACCTAAATATTAAGTTTCTGCATGTGCAGAAATAACACTGAAGAGTATGCCGTAGGAGCTAGACTTGTACAAAAAGAAAATGTGCTAAGGAACTTAGAAAAGGACACACATTTTACCCCATAAGCATATTTTGGCCAGAAACTAATAATTTAGTGGCACATACTGATTTGTGTGAGCTATGTGCAAGAAGATTTTTATTGGCTGTTGCCTATAAATCATGTTATTCTTATCTTGGAAAGCTAATGCCTTCTTCAGAACTCAAGACCATTCTGGTTAACCAGTGTCCATGACAGATCACAGATGACCTAGTTAAAGAATTTTAGTTAATTTGGATTGAAATACAGTTATGGTTGAGAAAAATTTTTCAACTCCAAAATTATCAATTTCCTTTTCCCCCTAAAAATGCTCACAAAATGTGATTGTTTTTCAAAAATAAATACAAAAGCTAACTGTTAATCAGGCCCTGACTTATCATATCCTAGATGCATTAACATAAATAGTCAATAGGACTGAAGAGATATTACTTCAAAATCAAGATGCTTCAAATGTTATACTTGCCTCCAAGAAATTTTTAATACTTTGGGAGAAGACTATTGTACTTGAACACCTGAAGCTCTCATAGAGAGCTTTAAATCACTCAAATTACTAAAGAAACAGTAAACAAGATAAATAACTTGAGGTATACCTAGTTGACATCCCACTATGTGGATCTAAGTTTATCTGACTAGCACTGAAATTTAATTTCCTAATTTTACTTAGGGAAATATTGAATCATGGATCTGTTTCTACTTATTTTACTGGCCATTTGTTTATATCTCAATTATGTTTATGTACTAGTCTAATGTCACCATTGTCTTGCCAGACAGCGCAACTATGATTCTGATAGAAAAGCAGAACAAAATTATAATTATCACCAAAACCTCATCTCCTCCTTAAATTCCTGTCATTCACATAGATCTACATAATACTTACATAGGTATACAATACCTATGACCTGTCTAAGGAAGGCCTAAATGGAGGACTGAGATAAAACACTTTACTCTCTCAAAGAATATGAACTATATATATTCAGGAAATTGTATATTTCAATGAAGCTAATGATCTATACATTTATAGGAAGCTATTAAACTGAACTAGACAGGTCATAAACTGAAACACTCACTCAGGAGCAAGTCCGTTTGAGCACACACCAACACTTGAAATCCACCCAATTAGTTATTAGTCCTGCTTTGTTCTAGTCAAACCCCATGTTTCATTTAAGCCTAAATTAAACACCACCACCACCAATTCTATATAATATTCTGAGAAGCTGCATTTCCACTTGAGTTTTCTTCCTTTGCAAACAAGAATTCCATGTAAATTAAGGAGTTTTTTGCTTTTCAGAATCAAGAAAATTTTATTTCCTTTAACACTAAGACACACTAGGCAAGATTTCACTCATTAACAAATTATATTTACATTTTTGTCCTATACAAGTGAATAATGAAGCTTAGAATAATCAGAATTTAGGAACAAAGAAGAAAGTTTTGATCATTACCTCCACCAATCAATTTTTTACACTGTTTGCTAGCTGTCCGACATCGTCCCTCATAACAAAAGGCATCACCAGATTCACAACTTTGTCCGTTGCGTGCATAAGTGTCAGGCACACAGTGTGAGGAAACCCCATTGCAGTATTCAGTGAAATCACATTCATCCAAAGATTTCCTGCACGGTATACCACCTGGTCTTAGCTAGCAGGGAAAGAGGAACATAAGAAAAGATTATGCATCAGTGATACTCAGTTTCCTTTTCCTTCAGGCTTTAATTTTTCATTTATCTTTTTTTCTAAGTTGCTAAGAGCAAGGAGAAAACAAATGATCTTGTTAACTACTTAAGCATTGCGTGGAAATTTAAATAATTAAATTTACTGTGGAAAAAGGAGCCGGTAACACTTGTGAGAGAATTGGGAAATTCAAAGATAAGTAGACTGCCATAATTATAAAAAAGACAAAAGCAATTAATATAAAAATTAATAAGTAATTAATATAAAAACTACTTAAAAATTACTTTAGATCCATTATGGCTATGCTTACATGGCAGCCTTTGGTTTCTCCATATGCTGTCCCTTCAAGCAGAAATCAGCAACCATTTACAAAATAATACATATGGGTCACAAGCATTTAGAAAAAAGTTTGTAGATTTTAAGGACACACAGGAAAAGATTTACTTCACATGTCATATTACAAACAACTATAAAAAAAACCTTCCCTAATTATATACCTCTGATCTCTTCAGCACTTACTCTTTAGCTGATACCTTACAGTATTTCCTTTCTGTATGTGTCTTTGCCACAAACTTCCAAATATCACTACAAACCCTTTCTTCAACCTAAGCCCCAATTCTTCATGGCTATCATCAGTATCCCATGCAAACTAGGTCAAATTTGTTCTAGCTTTCAAAGATTCTAGAGGCCTAGCTTCTATAACATTTATCAATCCCCAAAATAGGTTTTCTATATACTTTTTTCCATGTTGTCACAAATATTTGCTATATATAGCAATTCTGACACAAATTCTTCAAGTGATGTGTGGGAAGACAAAACAATGCTTGAGTCACCCGAGCTTATGTAGTTAGCATTCAAATAAAAATAAATGATCAAAATTATTTCTAAAGGAAAATACATATAAGCATAATAAAAAAATATTAATACCAGTTTCTTTGAAATATGCTTCATTTTATAAATATATATAAATGGCAATATTACATTTATTCTAATTTCTTCTATTGTTTTGATTTTTTATAGCAGTTTGAGGGTCACAGAAAATATGAGGGGTAAGTACAGAGATTTCCCATATAACTCCTGCCCCACATATACAAAGCCTCCTCTTATCAACATTTCTGCCTGGAGTGGTACATTTGTTACAATCAATGAACTTACATAACACTGATCATAATCAGTCAAAGTCCATAGTTTACATGAAAGTTCTTTCTCATTGTTAAACATTTTATGGGCTTAAACATATGTATAATGACATGTATCTTTTGTTATGGTATCATACTGAGTATTTTTGCTGCCCTAAAAATCCTTCATGCTCTGCCTATGCATCTCCCCTTCGGTTCCTGGCAACCAGTTTTTACAGTCCTTTTCCAGAATGTATTTGGAATCATAGAATGTGTAACCTTTCCAGATTGAATTCTTTCACCAAACTTCTTTTTCAATATGTATAAATACCCAGTTCCTAAAATCTCTTTCCTCAAATGGTCTTGGAACCAAGTTTTATCATCCTCCTGGCTCATATAAAAAGGTATTCATGTTTCTTTTCTTTGCTCCTTAATTCCAAAATGGCCCTAAAAATGGATGACTCCCTTTTCCTCCTAAATATTAAGAATGTTTTCTCCTAAAATCTTTTTATGTTTTTTTAATTTTCTTTTCAATTTATTTTTATTCTAGTCAAGACTGTCAGTCTGTACATGTAATGTGCAATTCATTGTCAGGACTATGTCCCTTTACTCAACTAAATGAGGAGTGGATGGTTAATTTATTGCCTCTGACCAACACACAAGTCTTGACTGCATCATAAAGAGAGTACTGTGTATATAAGAAAACTATAGTTTGAGCTATATATCATATCGATAATTAGGCCCAAGGACTAATGAGAATCACAACTACTACTCCAGTTTTAACAGCAGATATTCACACATCTCTGTTGATATATGAATCTGGTTTAAGTTATTACTTTTAGGTGCAACAATGATGGAGAATTTGGTAATCTGCTATATTGCTTGTGTTCAATAGGTTAGTTAATTTTTTTAAAGTTATATTTAATATGAATAATTATGACTAAATCGTGCCTACTAATGAAAAAAAAGAGGAGTGTACATCAGCAAACGTCAGAATAGGAGATTCCTGGCTGCATATACATAGAAATGCCTATTTTAAACAACTACCATGAATGAGATAATCTGACTGAAAGGTTCGAGTCTCAGGTGAAGCAAAAAGTCTGAGAGTAGATGTATTGGAAGTTGGTAAGAAGAACATTTTCACTTTACCCATATCACCCCTCCCAAAAGGTGGCACAGTTCAATGCTAAGAGAGACTGTCCTGGCTGGTGATTTATCTGACAGAAAAATTAAAGTAATGAGAACATGGTTTTCCAAGCACTACAAAACACTGCCCATGAGACTTCTTTTGTCTCACTCCACTCAGAACACTGAGGTACTTGGCATACTTAAATAGTCTGGGAACACCTAGGAATAGGGGAAAGAGATGGGAGTTCACAACAATCAGTGTGTGAACCAGCCACATATCCAATTAACTGGCTTATAGATGCAGCAAGAGTCTCATCCATGAACCAACAGGATGCTTCATCTGAGGACACCCACAACTAGCCAACAAATACCCCCAGCACTCCATGCTCACACCATGTGGCCGGAACTCCAAATTCTCCAGCAGATGACACACATGAGCCTCCAATAAGTGGGCGCAATCCTGCAGCCAACACATGGATATCAGCCCCTGGCTTGACTCTGCTGAATTGTACAACTTAGAACACTTTAGGGCACTGAACTAGAGAAAATTTATGAGAGGCTCTCCATAGCCAGACTGGCTTTCTGGGATTGAAAGACGGTGTACAATCCTGATCTCTCACTTCCTAGGAGGTGTGGAACAACCCTAGGAGAAGAGTGGAACAAGCACACTCCTAAAAAAGGTCTGAGAGACCCCCCAATAATCTAGCTGAGCTGACTGGTGATTGGCTTCTTTCTCTCTCAAGGCCAATTACTAAACACTGAAAGAGATGGCTACTTCTTCAAATGTGAAGGCAGCAACGCAAGGCTTCCAGAAATGTAAAGAATCAAGGAAACATGATGCCACCAAAGGAATGAAACAAAGCTCTTGTGGAAGACAAATGAAAGAAATGGAAACAAACAAATCTAACAAAAAATTTAAAATAATCACCTTAAGCTCAGATAAGAAAGCACAGAAAGACAAATAAAATCAGGGAAATGATACATGAAAAAAAATGAAAAGTTTCACAAAGAAAAATTATTTTTTAAAAAAGAACCAAACAGAAATCCTGGATCTGAAGAATACGAGTGAACTAAAAAATTTTATTAAAAAGCTTCTAGGGCACAGTTGATCAAACAGAATAGTGAACTCAAGAGCAATCATTTAAAATTTTCCAGTCATAAGAACAAAAAAAGAAAAAGATTAAACCCTAACTGGTATTTATAGAACACATAAAAAGAAACAGCATATGTGCTATAGGAGTCCTAGAAGGAAGCAGTAAAAGAGAAAGGGCAGAAAGTTTATGTAAAGAAATAATGACAATTTCCCAAATCTAGAGAGGAAAATGTACATAAAATCCAAAAGAATTCTAAATATACTGAACATAAGGAGGTCTTCAAAAGACACATTACAAATCAATTGTCAGAACTCAGTCACACAGAATTTTGAAAGTGTAAGAGAAAAGCAACTCATCATATACAAGGGAAGCCATATAAGACTATAAGTAGATTACTCAACAGAAACCTTGCAGAGCAGGAGAAAATGGGATAATATTTTCAATGTGCTGGAAAAAAAAATACTAACCAAGAATAGTATATCCAGGGATGCATGCATGGCTCTATCAGTTAAGCGTCCAACTCTTGATTTCAGCTCAGGTCATGATCTCAAGATCATGATATCAATACCTGTGTCAGGCTCTGAGCTCATTGAGGAGTCTCCTAGAGATTCTCTCTTTCTCCCTCTCCTGCTGACCCTCCCCCACCACACACACACACACACACACACACACTCTCTCTCTCTCTCTCTCTTTCTAAAATAAATTTGAAATAAATCTTTAAAAATAGAAAAGAATACTATATCCAACAAAGCTATCCTTCAGTAATGAAAAAGAGATGACTTTTCCAGATAAACAAATCTAAGGGAGTTCATGTGTCTTACAAAAACTACTAAAGAGAGGTCTTCAAGTAGAAATGAAAAAATTCTAATTAGCAATATGAAAACATATAAAAGTATTAAAATCACTGGTAAAAGTAAGTTATAGTTAAATTCAGAATACTCCCACTACTCTAATAGTTGGTGCATAAAGTTTTAACTCTAGTATAAAAATTAAAAGACAGAAGTATTAAAAATAATTATAGCTATAATAATTTGTTCATGGATACAAACTATAAAAGGATATAATATATGAAATCAATAGCATAAAATGAGGGGAAGAGTTTTTGTATGAGATCAAAATTAGTTGTCATCACCTTAAAATAGAATGTTATAATTATAAATTATGTCTTGTGTGAGGCTTGTGGTAATCACCTACAGATACATACATAAATATCTATAGTGAATATACAAAATATAAAGAGAAATTAATCAAAGCATACTACCACATAAAAATAATCAAATCACAAAGACACTAAAAAAAGGAAAAATAGGATTAAAGAACTACAAAAGGGCAGCCCTGATGGCTCAGCAGTTTAGCGCCACCTTCAGCCCAGGGCGTGATCCTGGAGACCCTGGGTCTAGTCCCACGTCCGGCTCCCTGCGTGGAGCCTGCTTCTCCTTCTGCCTGTGTCTCTGTCTCTCTCTCTCTCATGAATAAATAAATAAAATCTTTTTTTAAAAAAAACTACCAGAAAACAATAATATGGCAATAGCAAATCCTCCCTTAAATTTAAAGTAAATAAATCATAATAAAAAGATACATAGTAAGCAGATTAATTAAAACAAGATCAAACTATATGCTACCTAAGA